TTGTCGCCGACGGTGCGAAATATGTGGCAGGAATGGGACGCGGCGCACATCGCGCGCGGACGTCCATGCGGGCTGCGGGCCCTCCCATCCTGATTGTAAAAAACAATACAGAGTTGCCGTTTTTCTTTTCATCATGGCGTGTCTTGTCGTCGACGATGCGAAATGCGTGGCAGGAATGGGGCGCGGCGCACATCGCGCGCGGACTTCTGGGCAACCCCAATGCGGGAGGCGCCACCATACTTGTCAGAAACAATGCCATGCTGATTTTCCCTGCCTACATAGGTGTTCTTGTCGTCCACCCCGCAAAAGTGCATGGCAAGAGTTGGGCGCGGAACGCCCCCCTCCCCCCCCGCTCGAAGTGAATGAAATGACCTTCTCGCTTGGGCGCCGAGTGACATTTTCTCAAAGTTGCGCTCCCGCTTTGGCTCGGCGCACGTTTTTAGCTCGCCAATTCATTGGGCGCCGGGGCGTTCCAGGAGGCCCTGGGGTGACGAATGCCTGGGAGGTTTTTGCTTGTTCAGGCTCCTGGAAGGCCTCCTGAGGCTCCCCGCGGTTTCTTGGCGCTACGGCCGTCTGGAGGCCATCTTGTGCGTCTTGGAACGATCTTTCGGCGACTCGGGGCTACTACTACTACTACTACTACTACTACTACTACTACTACTACTACTACTACTACTACTACTACTACTACTACTACGACTACTACTTACTACTACTACTACTACTACTACTACTACTACGACTACTACTTACTATACTACTACTACTACGACTACTACTACTACTACTACTACTACTACTACTACTACTACTACTACTACTACTACTACTACTACTACTACTACTTACTACAGTTACTACTACTTACTACTACTTACTACTACTTACTACTACTTACTACTACTACTACTACTACTACTATACTACTACTACTACTACTACTACTACTACCACTACGACTACTACTACTACTACTACTACTACTACTACTACTACTACTACTACTACTACTACTACTACTACTACTACTACTACTACTACTACTACTACTACGGCTACTACTACTATTACTACTACTACTCCTACTTACTACTACTTCTACTTACTACTACACCACTCCACTACTACTACTACTACTACTACTATACTAACTACGACATACTTTTTGTAAATTCTACTACCTCTTCATACCAACATCGCACTAAATTACTTACTACAGACTACTATGATGTATTACTACTAATACTATACCCTAATATACACTACTACCCACTTTACTACTGACTACTACTAATACTACTAATGAGTACTAATAAACTACTAATACTACTACGACTACTACTAACGACTACGACTACTACTACTTACTACTACTTACTAATACTACGACTACTACTACTACGACTACTACGCTACTACTACGAACGAATACTACTACGACTACCACTACACTAATACTACACTACTACTACTTACTACTACTACACTACGACTACTACTACTACTACTACTACTACTACTACTACGACTACGACTACTACTACTACTACTACTACTACTACTACTACTACTACTACTACTACTACTACTACTACTACTACTACTACTACTACTACTACTACTACTACTACTACTACTACTACTACTACTACTACTACCACTACTACTACTACTACTACTACCGCTACGCGCCAGCACCCACTTGCGCCAGCATTGTTTCAATGCGGTGTCCTGGGGTATCCTCCACTCGCACTGAAATGCCCGCGCAGCCCCCAGTTGTGCCATCACTGTTTCTCATGTTGTGGGAGGGCGGGTGGGAATGGGCATGCCATGCTTGACTCGCTCGAGCTGGCTAGCTTGATGCGAACCCTACCCCTACCCCTCACGATTTCTGAGGGGGAGGGTGGGGTTCACTCCGCTCGGGAGCTCCCGAACGAAGAGAACCCCACCCTGCCCCTCAGAAATCGTGGGGGGTAGAGGTAGGGTTCGCATGTGGCCCCCTACTTGCATCGCGGAGACCAGCAGCAGGCGCACAGGGATATACGGCGTGCAGCGGCGTCGCCCTGCACATCTCGGTCTGCGCGGGCTTCTTTTCAGGTTGGACGAGCGTTGGCTTGCTAGCCGTCGCGCCTGAGTGGTAGCGATCCGAGAAACATCGGTCGGAGCGCGGCGCTGGATAAAAAGAAAGGCCAGGCCATGTGGATCTGGCGGTGGATCTGGCGGGTCCACCTGTAGACGTTGAGGTTCAGCCTGTAGACTCAGAGGTGCAGCCTGCATGTCTTGGTGCATCGCTTCACGGAGGTATGACGCCGGCTGCCGCCAGGTAGGGCCTTTCCGCGGCCCGCGCCGCGAGGCGCGCGCGGGCGAGTGTGGGGGATAGATCAAACATATGCCCCTTCGACGCCTCCCCTTCCCCCTGGAGCTTTCTCCTGCCTGCTAGGTGGCTTCTCGTCCTCGTCGTCGCCCTCCCATATTCTCCGTCCACGGTGAGATGCGCAGTGGGACTGATGATTGCCCTCCAGCCTCTCCCCGTCCACTTTCGTTTTCCTCGCTATCCCCCTGTGTTTGCGCATGCACCATGCGCGTGGATGTCGTCGTCGTTGATGCATGCTCTTGGCTTTCGATGTCTGTGCGCAGCAGAAGGCGCAGGAGGATGACGAGGACGACGAGGACGAGGAGAGCGAGGAGGACGAGGAGGACGAAGAGGAGGAGCCGGTTGGAGGAGGAGGAGGAGGCGGAGGAGGAGGAAGAAAAGTAGTAGGAGGAGGGGGAGGAGGAGGAGGAGGAGGAGGAGGAGGAGGAGGAGGAGGACGAGGAGGAGGAGGAGGAGGAGGAAGAGGGGAGGAGGAGAAGGTGGAGGAGGAGGAGGAGGAACGGGAGGAGGACGATGAGGTCGAGGAGGGCGAGGAGAAGGAGGAGGAGGAGGAGGAGGAGCAGGAGGAGGAGGAGGAGGCGGAGGAGGAGGAAGAGAAGTAGGAGGAGGAGGAGGAGGAGTAATTAGCGTGCAGGTCGTTTCGGCTATCTGTTCAAAATGGTGGTTACCAGCTGACGACGACGAGACTGCCAGAGATCGTCCAGCAAAGCGTATGCGCACAGACCGGGAATCCGATAATAATTAACTAATGCTTGAAGGTCTTGAGCCCCAGCCACACGAGTTGCTCGACAGTGTCGCGGTCAACATCTTTTGGGCGTCTGCAAGGCAGCATTTTCTTTCTGTCACGGATTCACAAATCCTTCGAGATGTTGTAAGTGTAAACGCTAAGTCACACGATCCAGCGTACGAGCCGCTCCTGACACGGGTAGTGAGCAGGATCGTCGATCACATGGGCAGAGGTTGGCTACCCCCGCACATCAACCAAGACCCAGTGCAGTTGTGGAGGCGGGATTACAACAAGGTGGCCGACGGCTTGGCTGATCTCACCATGGACAAGCGGTGCACATGGACAAGGAAATACACGACTATTCATCGAAAAGACAGCGCCAACCTCATCATCCAGACAGACGGATGATTTCGTGAACGAGACTGCGCAGCAGCGTCGTTCATCATCGGGCTCTGGGTTCAGCGGGATTTCGAGGACGACGACAACGAGTATCATTACGAGCCGTGGATAGCACACGGCACATTTCTAGAATTACCTATGACCGTATTCGGCGCAGAAGCAATAGCATCAGATGAGGCTTCCCAGGGAAGCGCTGCCCTTCTTGCAACAAGAGTATAGAAACAGCTGAAGTCTGAGGTTTCTTGGGCTGTGGCAAGGAAGAAAAGAGGAGGAGGAATAGGAGGAGGAGGAGGCGAAAGGAGGGGGAGGAGGAGGAGGGGGAGGAGGAGGAGGACGAGCGTAAACCCAAGAGTCAACAATGATGTTGAAGTAAACCCTCCATCCAAGTTTCCTTTTATAGGCCCCTACAACGGTTCATGTCCATTGAGGGTTTGCCTCGTTGGAAGACACCCATTTGAAGACCCTGAGGCATGCCAAGACACTGTTCTCGGGATTTCAACGCTACGGGTAAACCTTACTGTTTCGTCTTCACGATCCGAAACCTTGCAAGAACGCTATTCCTAGGACTTCAACACAGAGAACCAACGTAACTTTTGCACCCGTGTAATCCTGAAGCCTTCCAACACACAATATTTGGTACGTTGTTGATGGGAATCCGTGAAACCCTTGAACATGTTGTAACCGAGTGTGCGCGGCGCTCAGGCGAGAGCATTTTTTCTTGAAAAAGGAACCGCCCTCAACCTGTGCAGCCAACTGCAAACTGTTCAACGGATACGCGCCGCGTTTAGGCGAGAGCCACATGTTGAAAACGATTCGCCCTCATTCCGCGAAGCTCTTGTAAATTGTTAAAACAGATGTGTGCCGCGCGAAGGCGGGAGCCGCATTTTGAAAACCAGCCGCCCTCATTCCGCGAAGTTCTTGCCATGTGTTTCAAACGAATGTTCGCAAACCGCATTTCGCAAACCACCCGCCCTCAATCCGTGAAGCTTTTGCAAATGTTGAACGCGGGCGTTTCCAAACCATGTGTTGGTAACCAGCGCCCTCCAGATGTGACTCATTTGCCAATGTGTGAGCTTCAGAGTCATCACTGGTGTGGAAGTCTCAGGCGAAACGCCCGGCCCGCCCCAAACATTGGCCCCGGGCCGCGACAGGTAACAGTTAGGCATAAGGAAAAGGAATGAAGCAGGAGGAGGAGTAGGAGGAGGCGGAGGAAGAGGAGGAGGAGGAGGAGGAGGCGGAGGAGGAGGAGGAGGAGGAGGAGGAGGAGGGGGAAGCGGAGGAGGAGGAGGAAGGGGAGGGAGAAGGGAGGGGGAGGGGAAGGCGGAGGAGGGAGGAGGCGGAGGAGGAGCAACATCCTGGAGGAGGAGAAGGAGGAGGAGCAGGAGGAGGAGGAGGAGGAGGGGTAGAAGGACGACGAGACGGAGGAGGACGGGAGGAGGAGGAGGAGGAGGAGGAGGAGGAGGAGGAGGAGGGGGCCCCCCCCCCCCCTCCGCAGCCCAGGACGCGCGGCCCGCGGAACCCGCCGCGGCGGGGGCGCCTCCCGACGCCGGGGCGCCGCCGCCGCAGGCCCGCGCGGCCGCGCCCCGCAGCGCGCCGTGGTCGTCGCCAAGGTCGTTTTCGTCGTCATCATCACCATCATCATCATCACCATCATCATCATCATCATCATCATCATCATCATCATCATCATCATCACCATCATGATCATCATTACCATCATCACCATCATCGTCATCGTAGTCATCCTCATCATCATCATCATCATCCTCATATGCATATGCATATACATCGTCATGTTCATCTTCATACTCGTCTTCATCGTCTTCGTCGGCGCTGCCGCTGGTCCCCCAAGAGGCAAGATTGTGCCAGCACCGCCTGCGAGGACTCGTCCTGCGCGTCGTCTTCGTCGGCGTGACCCGTCGGCCTCCCAAGAGGCAAGACTTTGTCATCGGCGCCTGAGAAGACTCGTCCTGTGTGTCGTCTTTGTCGGCGCTGCCGCTGGCCTCCCAAGAGGCAAGGTTGTGCCAGCACCGCCTGCGAGGACTCGTCCACTTCCGCGTCGCCGCCTGAGCCTGCGTTCCCGCCCCATCGCCGGGTGCAGTGGGATTCCGACCAGCTCTGCGGGCGGGGTTGCCGCGCGGTTCTGCCAGCGGGCTGTGGATTTCTTCTTGTCCTCGACTCTTGGTCGTGATGGGCCTATTTCCCACCACTACTACCATAGGTAGGATGGGGAGGGGGAGGAGGAGAAGGAAGAGGAGGAGGAGGACCTCCTCATCCTCCCTTCTCACCCGTACTGCCTATGGTAGTGGTGGTGGAAAACTGGCCCATCAGGTCGTGCTCCTTGCCTCCCAAGCCGAATCACGCCTCAGCGCAAATCTCAGGCGAGGCCAGGCAGCTCCCTCTGCCGCGTTCGCTGCACCGTCGGGAAGTTCTTCGGGCTTTGGGGTCGCTCCGCCCCATTCGAGATTGTACGCGGGGACGTGGGCACAGTCATGATATGTGCGAGTCCTCTACCTTTCAGTCCTCCTCACCCGTTCTCGCCTTCACCCGTCCTTCCAGTCCCCATGACCAGCTTCCCTGAGTATGGTGAAATCCCCCATGATTCCTTTTTCCCGTCCCCGTCGTCGTTGTATCTCTCCTCTCCCCGGTTCTCCTCCTTTACCGACACCACTTTCTCGCCTCCTTCACCCCCCTCACAACGTACTCCCTCTCTCCTTATTCTTTGCCCCCATCTCGTCGCAGGGACCTCGGTAACCATCCCAACGCCGTGGCGAGCCTGAGGGCCTGGGCTCCCGAATGGTGTCATCATCATCGTCGTCATCATCATCGTCATCACCATCATCAGCGTCACTATGGCGCTAGCTCATGCTAGTCCTCGAGGCTTGTCGGGCGCACCTGCGCCCGCAGCGTGCGGCGTGCGTTCCGTGCGATGGTCGGGGGAGTTCTGTTCAATCGGATTCGGTGCTTGTGTACTTGTATGTATCGACGTGCTGCTCGTCGTTTCAAGGCGTTCGAATGTCAAGAGTGTCCTCAGCACAGACGACATGCAAAGCATCGTTTCCTGGGCAACTGTCACGCGGTGGATCAAGGGCATCGTCACAGCGATGATCGTCAACAGGTCTGTATCCAGCTCTCCTGTTGTCTGTTAGTTCCGTCATGCGGCGGATCCCCCAATGATGCAAGTGGAGACAGTGAGCCTTGTCACGAACACGGTGATCCGGACCGCCGTAGACGACATGGTCGCATTGCAAGTTGAGTTGTTCCTTGCGGTTCTTGGCTTGACTTTGCGCGAGACCCCTGGGCTGCAGCAGCCCGACAGGAAGTGGCGCCCCGCCGCAAAAAGCTCCCCAACGACATGTTGCCGCATTGCCAGTGGTGCCATTCCCCTTCAGCGTGGACGCAACAGCATTCCAGTTTGGCTTGGTTATGTCATCTTCACGGGATGGGTGTGCCTGTTCCTGTCGCAATTTGCGATGTGTTCGTGCGCAATCATCGTGAGAGTCTCCCCTGTTCTTGCCGATGTTTCTGTGGTTCGTAACCTGGATGCCATCTTCGCGACCACTGGGACCAGTGAGGAGAATATGCGTGGTATCCCCCGTGCACCTAGAGATGGTTTGCGTCAGCTGCCTGCTGGTCCAGGGTGATGATCGTCGTCAGCCACCTGCTGGTGATCGTGGGCCCCGTGGTCGTTTTCACGGGCGGGGTGGTCTTCATCGTGCATCTTGAAAGGATCATCGTGAGCAATTGCTTGATCTTCGTCTTCAATATGAAAGGCGTGAGCAGCATGCTGGGGGTAATTGGTCCGAAGGTGGTCCTAAGGATGGTGGTCGTGAAGACCCTCCTGACGTCATTGGCCGTGATTGTCGTCGTGAGGAGCTTGACAGCGTTCGGATGAGGGACGATATTCTAGGGCTGCCTGCCTGCGATCGTCGAGGACGTGATGGAGACGGGAATCGCGCGCCCAATGGCGTTTCTTTCATTATCCTGAAGGCCCTTACGCTGGCCTGTGGCTGGCACTCGCAGCTAAACCCAGATGCCATCGCCGGCCCTTTTGGGATATCGTCTTAGCACGTGCTCCCCGTACCTCTTCGACTGCGTGTTCGTGTGTCGGGATGCGATTTAGCCTAATCCTCTCCTCTCCTCTGCTCAGGTTGACGGCTGCGTAGGCTTGCTGCACCGGGGAAGGAATGCATCACCATCATTACCAGAATCATCATCATCAGCAGCATCAGCATCAGCATGTTCATCAACATCATTATCATCATCATCATCATCATCATCATCATCATCATCATCATCATCATCGCTCGTTTTCCCTACCGGTGGCTTCAAGGAGCTCCACACGTGCTCAGGGAACTCATGGGTATCAGGAGGCGATTGGGCCACCCACGTGTTCAGGGAACTCCACACCCACGCAGGCGATGGCCACTGCAGCAAGGACGCGGCGAACGCACAAAGTGGAGCAGAGCCGCTTGGACCCCATGGAACAAGTATATTTGTGGCTCCGTTGCAGCTTCGATGGAGGCCAAAGGGAAGACAAAGCAGGAGCCGGGTGGGCGATCGAGCTTTACATTGCGAAGCACGATTGGGAGATGTGGGAGCGCGGCGCCATCGTCATCCCCGTTGCCTCGTCGACACAAGCTGGGCTCACAGGATTACGATGTTTCATGTCTGCCTCGTGGATTATTGCAAGTCGCCGCAACACTTCCGATGCGCAGGATATTGGTCCCGACGTCGAACAATTACATCATCATCCTCATCATCATCAGCATCATCAGTATCATTATCATCATCACCATCATGATCACCACCATCATCACCATCATCTTCTTCACCGTCATCACAATCGTAGTCATCCGCACCTCCATCTTGATCGTCATCAGCAGCAGTAGCATCATCATCATCAACATCGTCGTCGTTGTCGTTGTCATCAGGACCACAAAGGTTCAGAGTTGTGCCGGTGACGGACCGTGCGGTCAGGCCGCCGGGGATTCCGGGGTCGCCACACGGCTTTGGGGCCCCGCACCCGTGTCTGCACTGGGCCCCGTGGCGGCCCAGCGCCGATACAAGAAGTCCGCCTTGAGCTCCCCAAACTTGGGATTGTACCGCCAAGGTTGTGTCTCCTAGTCGTGCGCGCCGCCGCCAACACGCCAGGCACCCCAGCAGCAGCAACCCCCTTTTGCGCTTGGCCCCGTGGCGGCCCAGCGCCGATGCAAGAAATCCGCTCTGAGCTCCCAGCATTTAGGATTACGCGCCTCCTTTTTCCTCCAAGTCGCGCGCGCCGCCGCCAGCCCGCCGGGCACCCCAGCAGGAGGAGTAGGAGGCAGAAGAGGAGGCGGAGGAGGCGGAGGCGGAGGAGGCGGACGCGGAGGCGGAGGAGGAGGAGGAGGAGGAGGAGGAGGAGAAGGAGGAGGAGGAGGAGGAGGAGGAGGAGGAGGAGGATTGAGGAGGAGGATTGAGGAGGAGGCGGAGGAGGATGGAGGAGGAGTAGGAGGAGGAGGGGGAGGAGGAGGGAGGAGTGGGGCCCCCGCCCCGCCAGGCACCCCAGCAGCAGCAGCCCCCCTCCGACGTCTGGGTCTTCACCCCCGACGGCAGCGGCGACGTGCTGCCCGGCCCCGCCGCTGGCGGCGAGGCCGCGCCTCGGCGGCGGCCCCTCGGCGGCCCCTCGGCGGCCCCCCTTTGGGTGGCCCCGCGGCGGCCGCTGGGCAGCGGTCGGCGCCGGCGGCGCCCGCTGTTTCGGCGTCGCTCGGAGGAGGAGGACGTGCCCTTGCCGCTGGCAGGAGAGGGGAGACAGCACACAGACACGATCCATCGCCGATCCCCAGGAGAATTGGATGGGAAACTATGGGACGTGGGGGGGAAGCCGAAGACCAACAAAAAGATGGGGAAATTATGGGGGAGGATGGGGAATGCTGGGATTCGTGTCTAGTTCTCCGTGTGCCCCGGGGCCCTTTCACATGCCGCTGCCCCTGCCTCGTCGCCGCGGCCAGGTTCGCCTCGAGGTCCTGGTCGGAGCGCGCCGCGGCAAGCGAAGAGCGCAGCGGACGCCGGAGCGGTGCGCGCTCCTTTTTGGGGGAGCCCGCCCGCGCATGGCGTGGAGGCACGGCGCGGAGACCGCGGCCTCGGGCATAGCCAGGACACCAGGTAAGGGGTACAGTGGGGGCGCGCATCAAGAAACCATGTGCTTTTAATCGGGGCACCCTGGATGTCCTCGCTCCTCGCGCGGCGCGGTGACTTACCGCGGCCGTTGAAGAAGCTGCTGCGTTTCAGGGTGCCCCAGGCTTCCCCACAGTCGCACCCCTCGTGCGGGTCTTCATGGCTGGTTTTCTTGCGAGGGTTTCTTGCGGCCGCGTCCGCGCGGTATGACCCGGGTATAGCCAGGTACGATTCGGGTATAGCTTGGTACGATTCGGGTCTAGCCAGGACCCCAGGTAAGGGGACCCGGTCAGTGGTGGGGCCCCAGAGCCCCTAAATTGGCCAGGGTCACTGAACCAAGTCTGCCGCAGCTGGTGTTGTTTCGGGTGACCAGTGGAACGGGGCGCGGGGGGGGCGTCCCCCAGTACACATAAGCCAGGTCCCACTAAACTCAGGATCTGCCAACGCCCGAGTGATACGCAGGCGGAATCACGTCGCGACCGCCATTCGGTGGTGCGCCGCTGCGCTCGTGCTGCCGTGGTTCGGTCGCTGCCGGAGCCTGGTCCTGCCCGGGCGTCGGCGCCGCAGCGTCGGAGTGCGTCCGGAGAGGCGTCCGTGAGGTGGCCACCTTCCCGTGCCGCCCGTCGTCGCCGGCGCCGTCGTCTCGCAGGATGGAGGGCGCAGGTCGGGGGCCGAGCGAAAGGGGGGGATAGGGAAAGGCAGGGTTACGAGATCTGCTGCGTGCAGCTAGTTTCGGCCCGCCCCGCCGCCGGGCCCATTCCTCGATACGCGGGCGCCTCCCGGCGCCGGGAGGCCCTGGGAAGATCAGCTAATTACGTGAGCTGATCTTCTACCGTGCCCTTTGCGATCCCCCCGTCTCGTTCCCCCCGACTGTTTGCGCGCCCCCGCCCACCGAGTGCCCCCACGGAGCGCGCGGGGGCGCGGAGGCAGCCACGCCTCGCACGCCGCGGTCTGGGCCAGGCCGGAGCGTCTGCCATTTTCTCCAGGTTGGGCTCGCGGGGGCGCCAGGGGGCGTTGCCTCCGAGTGTGTGCTGCGTGTGTCCGTGTAGTTGTTTGTGTTTCTCGGGGGTGGACAGAACCCCCAGCAGTGACACGTCGATTCGTGAATTGTCCGTTTTCGGTTCTCGAGAGGGCGCCGCGGCCGTGATTTTCCAGGCTTGCGCCCGCCAGGTTTGGGCCTCAGGTCGTTTTCACAAAACCACGTTTTACTAAAGGGAGGTCTGTCCATCCCCGAGTTTCCTCGAGGCACCTCAGGAGACCTCCGGAGGCGGACGTCGTCGTGGCCGTCGTCCGCCGGTGGTCACTGTCCGAGAGGCGTCGCGTCGTCGTCGTCCGCTCGTCGTCGTCGTCCGCTCGTCGTCGTCGTCCGCTCATCGTCGCCGTCGTCGTCGTCGTCGTCGTCGTCGTCGTCGTCGTCGTCGTCGTCGTCGTCGTCGTCCGCTCGTCGTCGTCGTCGTCGTCGTCGTGGCCGTCGTCGTCGTCGTCGTTCTCGTCGTCGTCGTCGTCGTCGTCCGCTCGTCGCGCCGTCGTCGTGTCGTCGTGTCGTCGTCGTCGTCGTCGTCGTCGTCGTCGTCGTCGTCGTCGTCGTCGTCGTCGTCGTCGTCCTCTCGTAGTCGCCGTCATCGTCGTGGTCGTCGGCGTCATCCTGGTCGTCTCCGTCGCCGTGCAGGGGCAGATCAGGGAAGCGAAAGGGTGGAGGTGCGGAAAGGGAAGGGGAGAACGGGAGGACGAGAAGAAGGAAGGGAACGAAGGAGGGGAACGGGGTGGAAAAGTCGACCCCAAAAACTAACGTTCTATAGCCGATCGGGCCGTAAATGCCCTTGCCGGTCCAGGAATGCGCGGTTTCGCCATCGGGGGCCTCCCGCCGATCAGTCGGCGATGTCTCGTCGGTTTCAAGCCTCCAAGCCGCTGCGTTCTCCTTCGGCCAGCCTCTTGTTGGCCACGCTCAGGGGAGGTGGGGGAGCAGGGGATAGTTCGAGAATGGAAGGCGGGCAGGGGGGATCAGGGCAGGAGGGGGGAACTGCATGGGGAGGAGGGGGGAGGGGGAGGAATGAGGGGGGGGGGAAGGGGCATTTGGGGATCGGAGAGTGGCTGGTGCGAGGAGCAGCGAGGGGACGATGGGAGGCCAGATGGGTAAGGGGGGGAGCGGAGGTGCAGGAGCGGCTCCGAGCGTGGGGAGCAGTGGGGGGACCGACGGGGAGGTCGAAGGTAGATCGCGTGAGGGGGGGTCCAGGGAACACTGGGGAAGCTGCCCCTCGGCACAGGGGACTACCAGGGGAGCCCCCCCCTTGGCACCCTCCCGTCTCCTCCTGCTCCACGTGCGGCCCTGAACGGTGGGACCGAGGCACGCAAGGGGTTCGAGTCGTGTCGACCCACGGCGACCCCGCTGCCGGCGTTCGGCGTTGAGCGCCGCTGGCGAGCCAGAGTCGGTCGATGAGGAAGAGGAAGAGGAAGAAGGGGAGGGAGAAGAAGGGGGAGGAAGAGGAAGAGGAAGAGGAAGAGGGGGAGGAGGAGGAGGAGGAGGAGGAGGAGGAGGAGGAGGAGGAGGAGGAGGAGGAGGAGGAGGAGGAGTAGGAGGAGGAGGAGGAGGAGGAGGGGGAGGACGAGAAGCGGCGCCAGCTTCGTGGAGAAGCAGCAAGCAAAGAACGGGAGCATGCCCGCATTGGGCCTCTGAAATGAGATTGGGCGCGACAGACGCGCGGGTGGCTGGAGTTGGCGGGTTGGGACGCCACTGAACAGCTTGTGAACGACATCTATAAGGGGGGGGCAGAGACACACAAATGAATCGACACACATCCAATTCTATGTATGTTCATACTTTCTTGATTTTCGTCTTCCCTCCCGCTTCCCACAGTTTCCCACATTGTCATGAAAATCGACAGATGATTTGTGTCTGTATGTTCTTTCCTTCCCAATCCGAATGCGATTCCCGAGCTGCAGCGGAAACCTCCGCCTCCGCCGATTGAGAGTGAGGCTTCGGAGGGAGGGGGGGGCGGGGGCCCGCGGGAGGCGAGAGGCGAAGCCGAGGGCAATGAAGGAGGATGGAGGAGTAGGAGGAGGAGTAGGAAGAGGTGGAGGAAGAGGAGGAGGAGGAGGAGGAGGAGGAGGAAAAGGAGGAGAGGAGGAGGAGGATGAGGAGGAGGAGGAGAGAAGGGAGGAGGAGGAGAGGAGGAGGGAGGAGGAGGAGAGGAGGGAGGAGAGGGGGAGGAGGGAGGAGGAGGAGGAAGAGGAAGAGGAAGAGGAAGAGGGGGAGGTGGAGGAGGAGGAGGAGGAGGAGGAGGAGGAGGAGGAGGAGGAGAGAGAGGAGGGGGCGCAGGAGGAGGAGGAGAGAGGAGGAGAAAGAGGAGCAGGAGAGGCAAGAGCAGGGAGGAGGAGGAGGAGGAGAGAGGAGGGAGGAGGGGGGAGGAGGAGGAAGAGGAGGAGGGGGAGGGGGAGGGGGAGGGGGAGGGGGAGGGGGAGGAGGAGAAAGGAGGAGGAGGAGGAGGAGGAGAAGGAAAAGGAGAACGGGGGGGATCGACCCCAGAGCCAGCCGAGGGCCGCCGACCCCCACAGCCCTACGCCGTTTTGGAGTACCCCTGAATTTGCTTACGCTGATCGTTGAAGAAGAACGAACGTCATAAACATAGGGTGGCGGCGCTCAGCGCGGACTTCTTGGATCCGCGCTGGCCCCCCCTGGTGGCGTCGCTGGCGCCGCCCCTGGCGCGCTCCGCGCGCCAGGGAGGGTTGTCCAGCGCAGATCCAAGAAGTCCGCGCGGAGCGCCAACAGTTTCTGTTATGGCGTTTTCGCTTCTTCTCGATCGGGGCAATTTGCGAGGCTAGTCGATTTTGCGTGGCCGATGGAGCATTCCAGTCTTCTGAAAGGAAGCAGATGCAGTGTCTTCTCGTCATGTTGATGACTGTGGTCCTGCGAGACGCCAGACAGACCCCGGAAGGGGTCCCGAGAGAGATCTCGAGCGGACTTGCCTTTGACCCACCCACCTTCCCGACAGATTCTCTCGGGCCCCATCCGGTTCCGACCCCCTGGCCGTCGCCAATCCTCTTCCTCTACCTCTTTCTCCAAGAGTCAGGAGGGGAAAAACACAGACACAAGTAATCGTCGATCGCCAGGGAAATATAGGAAAATATGGGATGTGGCGGGGAAGACAGAAACCCAGAAAATATGAGAATATATGGGGTATCCTGTTCTTGGTGTGTATGTTTGGTGTGTGTGTGTGGTGTGTGTGGTGTGTGTGTGTGTGTGTTTGTGTGTGTGTGTGTGTGTGTGTGTGTGTCCCAGGGCCCCTTCAAGGAGGCTCCTCCGAGGGCCCAGCAGGCGGCCCGACGCCCCCGCCCACGCGAGCGACGCCGAAAGACACCGGGGCCGTCTGCGCCGACGTTGGGCGCGCCGGAGCTGCCCGCGGGAGGCCTCGCTTTGAGCGCCCTCGTCGCCAATGTCGCGCACCGCGCTGGCGGCCCGCTTACGTAGGCCGCCGCGGAAGGTCGCGGCGCCGCCTCGCGCGAGACCCGCTCTCTGAGCGTCGCTCCCGTCGAGTCTCCGGCTCGCTTCGTTTTCGGCTCCGCTCGATTGCGATGCGATTCGGCTTCGGATTCCGGTTTGGATTTCGGTGCTTCAACGGCGGCCCTGCCAGACTGCCGATCTGCGCCGAGGGGGCTCTCTCCCGCGGCCGCCGATCTGCGCCGATCCGGCGCCCACCTCGCTCGCCGCTACCCGACGCCTCGAGCCGCTTCTGGGCTCCCACCGGCGTGGGCTCGACGAGTCGCGCCCTCCCAGGCGTCGACGCATCGGCTCCTTTCAGGAGGGAAAAAAACACACAGACACAATTAATCGTCGATTCCCAAGAAAATATGCGAAAATATGGGAAGTGGGGGGGAAGACAGAAACCCAGAAAATATTCGGAAATATGGGGGATTCTTTTATTTGTGTGTATTTATTTGTGTGTCCTGGGGCCCCTTCATCCTTCGAGTCGGCTCACGTCCTTGGCATCGCTCGGGCGTGTGCACTCTTCCTTCGGCGAGGACCATCGAGGAGCATCCTCTCGATCATTTGGCGAAAAAGCCACGCACGAAACCGACACAAACACAGGGAATGGACGTCCGAGCGATGGCCAGCGTCGAATCGACGCTCGACGCCGGCGTCGCGCCCCCCGCAGGCGGCCGCGCCGCAGCTCGGCATGCCCGCGCCCGAGAGCCCGAAGAGGACCCGCGCGCGGCGTCCCGCGCGCGGGTTTCTCGCCGCCGCTGGAGGGCGAGGGCCGAGGGCCCGAGGTGGCTGTCGCTCCTCCTCCCTCGCTCCCTCCCTCCTCCATCTCCCTCCCACCCTCCCTCTCTCCTCGTCCCTCCTCCCTCCATCTCCCTCCCCCCATCCATCTCCCTCCCTCCCTCCCTCCCTCCTCCCTCCCTCCTCCGTCCCTCCTCCTCCCTCCCTCCCTCCCTCCATCCATCCATCCATCCATCTCCCTCCATCTCCCTCCCTCCCTCCTCTCGTCGGCGAGCGAGGGGGAATTGAGAAGGAGAAGGCCTTCTCAGAAGGCGGCGGGACTTCTCAGAAGGCCTCGCGCCTTCTGAGAAGTTTTTGTTTGTCTCCGGGGAAGGCTCGCAAAACTTCTCAGAAGTCCGGGTGACTTCCGAGCCTTCTGAGAAGGCACGCCCCTTCTCTCTTCCCCCCCTGGCCCGCCGCCTACATGTGGCATCCAACAGACAGTTCAAGGTGGCCTCTTGGACGGCACCGCACAGGATCGTCCACGGTGACGCAATGCGGCTCCAAGGCTGCACTGACGTCGAAGAAGAGACAAGCGCCACAAGCACAAACGTTTTGGCGCTCCGCGCGGATTTTTGGCCTCCGCGCTGGGCCCCCCTCGCCGGCGCCTCTGGCGCCGCCCCTGCCGCGCTCCGCGCGCCAGGATCGGGGGTCCAGCGCAGATACAAGAAGTCCGCGCGGAGCGCCACAAGTTTATGTGTATGTCGTTTTCTTTCCTAAATGTGGCCCCGCATCCAAAATGGCCTCCGAGACTGCCCTAGATGTCTTCCATCATGCCTCCAAGAGGGTCGGGAGCCGAGGCTCGGTTCGGACGACGGGTGGGTCGAGGATCGAGGTGTTCGAACGTGTTCGTCGACTTGTTCCGGCGGTGTGCCAGCCATGGGATGCTCCCCCGCAACCGCGTCTAATGGGATGGGTAGCGGCATTGGGCCTCTAAGGGCCCCCCAATTGTGAAGCGGGCAGGCCAGCAGAAAGCGGAGGAGGACCGTAAAGGGACGATGTTGTTGTTGATGATGATTATGACGATGATGATGGTGATGATGATGGTGATGGTGATGGCGATGGCGATGGTGATGATGATGTTGAGTGTGATTGTGATTATGATGGTTATGGCGATAACGATGACGGTGACGGTGACGGTAGCGGTGATGGTGGGTTTGATGTTGTTGGTGATGATGATGATGACGATGACGATGACGATGACGATGACGATGACGATGTATATGTTGGTGACGAGGGCAATAATGGTGATGGTCATGGTGATGATGAAGCTGGTGCTGATGAGGATGATGGTTATGATGATGATTATGGTGGTGATGACGATGGTGATGACGGTCATGGTGATTGTGATGATGTTGATGATGTTGGTGTTGATGATGACGATGACAATGACGATGACGGTGATGATGATGATGATGATGATGATGATGGCGACGATGATAGTGATGAGACTGATGATTAAATGGCGACGGTGATGATTATGAGGATGATGATGTTGGTGGTCTTTGTGGGGTTGATGACGATGATGATGATGATGATGATGATGATGATGATGATGATGATGATGATGATGATGATGATGATGATGATGATGATGATGATGATGGTGATGGTGATGATGATAATGAAGAGGAGGAGGACGAGAGTGAGGATGTGGATGAAATTGAGGACCAGGAGGAGCAGCAGGACGAGGCAAGCAGGAGGCTAAACAGGGGATTAGGAGCCTGACGGTGAACTGGAGAAAGAGAAGGCAGAGGATGAGGCGATTGAGGAGGAAGGGCAGCAGAGGTAGCAGTGGCACCAGCAGTAATAAGTTGAAGAGGCGGAGAAGGACGGCGAGGAGTTGGATGATGAGGAGGAGGACAAGGAGAGAGGAGGGCGAATGATGAGGAGAAGAGGAGACTGAAGGGAGGCAATCTTTTTTCTCTTCTGCCTTCCTGTGCCTCCTCCCCCCTCCCTCCCTCCTTCCCCCTGCCTCGTTATACCTCTCGCCCCTGGCCCTCGTCTACCTCCTGCTGCCTCCTCTCTCCTCCCTCCTCCCACCTTCGCTATACCCATTCCGCCGGAGCAGGACGCTGAAGACTATGCCCATGTTCCAGTGGGTGTCCGCGAGCAGCGTCGAGGGCCTGAAGCTTCCCACCGATCCGAACCGCCGCACCTTCAGGGCCAGGAGCCCTCCTCTCAAGGGGTAGCGACAGGCTCGCAGGTGCTCGCAGGCTCGCGGGACCGAGCTTCGAAGTTAGGGTTCCCGACCTTTTCTTCAGATCGCTTAGATGAGGTTCTTGCCGTTACTCAGACGCTTCCCACTCACGCCTTACCTCCCTCTCTCCCCACTCTCCCCCCCTTTTCCCCCACCCCTCCACCCCTCCCCCCGCACTGGGGGCAACCGCGGGTTCGAAGCTCCCTGAGTCGCGAGTTCGCAGGTTCGAGCTTGGAGTTTTCCTCTCTGGACGTGTTTGATCTTGTCCTGGGGCGCCCTCCTGGCTACGGCTGGGTCCGCTTCGAAATTCTGGTCAGGAGATGGCAGGGGGTAGAATTGGCCCTGGGGCTGATAAGGGGCAGCATTACGCAAAGGGGCTTAAAACAGTTCGCCAAATGTTCTGGCGTTCTCGTGTGCCTGAAGGTGTTCCTGCCTCCGGATGCGTCTCTGCGGTTGCGCCTCTCAAAGAGGCGTCGGGAGGTGTCCAGATCGTCCCAGACGGCCGCCGGAGACACGAGTTAAGACCCGAAAGTCGGACGATCGGAGGAGGAGGAGGAGGAGGAGGAGGAGGAGGAGGAGGAGGAGGAGGAGGAGGAGGAGGAGGAGGAGGGAGGAGGAGGAGGAGAGGGAGGAGGAGGGAGGAGGAGGAAGGAGGCAGGGAGGGGAGGAGGAGGAGGTGAGGAGGAGGGAGGAGGAGGAAGAGGAGGAGGAGCGAGGCAGAGGAGGCGGTGGGGAGGAGGAGGAGGAGATAGGAGAAGGAGGAGGCGGAGGAGGCGGAGGAGGAGGAGGAGGAGGCGGGAGGGGGAGGGGAGGAGGAGCAGTGGCGAGGGGGAGGGGGGAGGGGGGAGGGCAAGCTAGGTGCGCTCGCGTCATATCTGACATCCTACCCCTCCCTCCCATCCCTTACCATGGCGTAGATCCCCTCTCTACTCGCACAGTCGGATGTCGAGCAGGGCAATGATCCCGAAAAGGTACGCGATGCATTGTAGAGCACGGCATGGCATGGCGTAGAAGAGCACCGCAAAGCGTAGTATCAACCTAGCATTGCATTGCATGCCGTGGCATGGCACGGGAAATGACGCCAGCGCTGCAGCGGGAGCACGAGTCGAAACGAGCGGAAGCGCGGAAATGAGGCCAGCGCTGCAGCGGGAGCACGATTCGGAACGAGCGGAAGCACGGAAATGAGGCCAGCGCTGCAGCGGGAGCACGATTCGGAACGAGCGGGGCCCGAAAATGAGGCCGGCGCCTCAGCGAGAGCAGCATTTTGAAAACAAATGCAAGCGAAACCCAACTCCGGGGAAACCTGTGTGTAAAAAAACAGTACGCGGGGGGGGGGGTCGAGCACTTTCAAACCGTCATCAGGGGAAGAGGGAGAGTAGTATTCATATTGAGTAAGTGTGGAGGAGGAGGAGGAGGAGGAGGAGGAGGAGGAGGAGGAGGAGGAGGAGGGGAGGAGGAGGAGGAAGGAGGAGGAGGAGGGAGAGGGGAGGAGGGGGAGGAGGAGGAGGAGGAGGAGGAGGAGGAGGAGGAGGAGGAGGCAGGAGCAGGGGATAAACCCAGCATTGAGCCCAACTCGCCCATTCCATCGGCACTCGACGTCTGGCCCCCCTGTTTACTGCCTAGGAGCGCCCAGCTTCGCCGTCGGGGGGTGGGCCGCTGCCGACCTGCTGGCGATGCACGACGATTCCAGGTCGACGCGTGCCCTCCTGAGCCCAGTCCCTCTCGGGCCAGACGAAAGGGGTGGAAAAGGAAAGGAGGGGTTACGAAATCTGCTGCGTGCAGCTGGTTTCAGCCCCACCGAGGGGCCCTGTCCTCGATACATGGCCGCCTCCGGCGCCGGGAGGCGCTTGGAAAATCAGCTACGTGAGCTGATTCTCAAACCCCCCCTTTGCTATCCCCCCCTTTCGCCCAGCCCGACTCTCCGCCGCGGGCAACACGCCTACGGACGCCCTCGAAGGCCTCCAGTCTCTCCGCGGGGGTCTGCGGTCTACAGGCGGGCCTCCCGGGGTGCATCGGGAGGCCCGAGGAGGAGCCCAACGCCCGCCCAGATGCGGAGGATCCCCGAGGAGGACCACCGATCCAGGACCCTGGAACCTGGAGGGTTCTCGAGCCTCCGAGGTCCCTCGTTCCTCGAGGACCCTCGGGGAGCGAGGAGCGAGGGGACCCTCGGGGACCCCCCTCGGGGACCCTCGAGGATCCTCGAGGACCCTCGAGGTCCTCGAGGGCCCCCTCGAGGAGCCTCGGGGAGGAGGCGAGGATCCTCGAAGAAGCGAGGACCCTCGAGGGTCCTCGAAGAGCGAGGACCCTCGGGGAACGAGGCGCGAGGAGCGCCGGGCCCCCGCTCGCCCCGCCGCCCCAGGAGCCGGAGCCGGCGGCGGAGCCGGAGCCCCCAGAGCCCGCCGAAGCTCGCGCCGGGGGAGGTGCCGCTGAAGCTGGCGGGGGAGGCGCCCGCCTGCAGGAGGAGGAGGAGGAGGAGGAGGAGGAGGAGGAGGAGGAGGAGGAGGAGGAGGAGGGGGAGGAGGAGGGGGAGGAGCAGGACCCTGACCTTCCAGGAGGGCTAAAACATAGCACCGGGCGCCTGCCGCGGCCAACTGTCGCGGGAGGGCTCGAGGCGGCCATATTCTGTTCGGCGCCGCCTCTGCGCGGTGCCAGCGCTAGACCGACGGATTCTGCGGCGGCAGCCGCGTTGCCAGAGTGCCCCGCTGCAGGGGTCGTTCGGCCGTTCGCGCCAGGGAGCCCAGCTCCGCAAATGAAGCCGTTTTGGCACGCAAGCGCCGGTGATTCTGTCGGGCCTGGCGGCGGCGCGGAGGGTCCGAGGAGGGCCGCGCGAGGCACAGGTGGTTGGCCTTCGGGAGGGGCCCTCGTTGCCACGGCTGGGCGCAGCGCGGGAAGCTGGTGACCCCGGGAGGAGTCTAGGGACCGACGATCATTGAGTTGTCGTTGTAGCATGTCGCCCATCCAGACCTTTGTAAGGCCTCGGGTCCTCGTAGATTGTCCTTTGTAAGCGTATCCTTCGGCCTCCAGCCATTGACATTGTAGCGTGGCCGCTGGTCACTGATGTTGTAGCGTGTCCTCTGTAAGGCCTCGGGCTGCGCGAAGACACCCCCCGAGGTAGTCCACGCTGGCCTCAGCAGGCGCCCCGAATAGGTAGTCCCAGCTGGCCTCAACAGGTCCCTCGAGCAGTCCAGGGCAGTATCAACACCTGGCGCCGCCTCTGGCGGCGCCCTTGTGGCGCTTCGTGCCCCCGGGTTGGGGTGTTGAGACCACCTAGGACTACTCGGGGGTCATGTTGTGGCGGTTGGGACTGCTCGGGGGGCCTGTTCCTCCTCCCTCCTCCCCCTCCTCCCTCCTCCCCCTCCTGCTCCTCCTCCTGCTGCTGGTCCTCCTCCTCCTCCTCCTCCTTCTCCTCTTCCTCCTCCTCCTCCTCCTCCTCCTCCTCCTCCTCCTCCTCCTCCTCCTCCTCCTCCTCCTCCTGACCAGGCCAGACAAGTTCGGGGGACCAGGGAGGAGGCCCTGAAGACTTCTCAGTGCGAGGGGCTGGGTGGGCCGGGGGCCCTCCAGCTCCTCGCCCCCCCCACCCCCCATGCGGGCAGCGCGTCGACTGATTCCTCCCTACCTCCTCCTCCCTCTCTCCGTCCTGCTTCCTCCTTCTCTCCTTCCCTCCTCCTTCCTCCATCTTCCTCCTCTCCCTCCCTTCTCTCCTATTGCTCTCCTCCCCCTCCTCCCTCCCTCCCTCCCTCCTCCTCCCTCCCTCCTCCTTCCCTCCACCTCCCTCCTCCGGGGCCCATTTCGACCCGCTTGATTCGTTGTCGACTCCGGCCGGCCCAGTCCGATTCGAGACGGTGCGGCCCAGTGCTTGCGCGTGGCGATGTTGTACAGCCTGGCGCGGCCGATCCGATCCGGTATCGACTCCTTGCCGACGCGGCCCGGCCCAGCCGCACGATGGCGCACGCTCGGGTCGGATCGGATCCGGTGTACCGATGGGCAGTGTTGGCTTTTCCAGTCCTCCCTCTCTCTCGCCCTCTTCCTCCTTCTCCTCCTCCTCCTCCTCCTCATCCTCCTCCATCCTTCTCCTTCTCCTCCTCCTCCTGACTATCATCATGATTGTCATCATCAGTATAGTCATCATCTTCATCGTCGTCATCATCATTAGCATCAGTATCGTCATCTTCAAACTTATCATCAGCATCATCATCGTCATCATCATCACAATCAACAGCATCAGCTTCAACATCATCATCACCCTCACCATCACCATTATCATCACCATAACCAACACCATCACCATCGCCATCACCATGACCATCACCATCGCTCCTTCTGTCCTCCCGTTCCTCCTCTTCTCATCCCTTGCACTCGTTCCTTCCCCTCATCCCTCCTTCCACCCTCCCTCCCTCCCTCCCTCCTTCCCCCTCCCTTTTGTAATATGATGCTACATGCGGCATCCGACATCATGTCAAGCTGAGCAGACCCCTGAAGCAAGCTAAAGTGGACTCGAAACAGACCTGAAGAGAGAGCCAGATAGAGAAAGAGAAAGAGAGAGAGAGAGCGAGATACAGACACATAGACAGAGAGAGTGAGAGAGAGGGCCGAAGAGCCTTCTGGCTGCCTGGCCGATTATTTGCGGTCGGCAGTTGGCCGTCCTCCTACTCCTATTCCTCCGCATCCCCCGTATATAGTCCCCCCACACTCGGGATGGAGCAGTCGGCACGAAGACCTCTTACAGACTACAGGCCTGAAGAAACGAGACCTGGACAACCTTACACGGCAGACATCTATAATTGACAGTGTTTCATCTGCCGTGCGTTGAGGAGGATCAACCCTGAGCAGCGGCGACAACTATACCGACTCATATATCAAGAAACCACTGAGGACCCTGAGCAGCGCTGTTTAGCCTTCCTACCTGGGATTGGCTTCCCAGGTATTTGAAACAAATGGTTCCGGCTTGATGCCCATCGGTTTTGCGGCAGGCCTCGACAACAGCCAGCACATTAGGTTTTGCGGACTTTATGATTCCATCTCCCCTGGGTACTCCCTCCAATCAGCTACACCTCCTCCCGCCCCCTCCAATACCCCCACCTGTCATCTCTTCGTAGCAGAGACACAGACACTGCTAAGGTTTTTTTTTGTTTTTTTTTTTTGTTTTGGGTTGGGTCGTCGGCCAACCCTCAGCCTTCCTCCCTTCTTACGCTGCTACTCCTCCTCCTCCTCCTCCACCTCCTCGCCTCCTCTTCCTCCTCCTGCTGCTCCTCCTCCTCCTCCTCCTCCTTCCCTCCCCTCCTCCCCTCCTCCTCCTCCCCTCCTCCTCACTCCTCCTCCTCCTCCTCCTCCTCCTCCTCCTCCGACCCCCCAGGCTTGGGAGGAGCCGCGCGAGAAGGGCGGCCTCCGCCTCGTGGCGGACGGGCCCGTGGCCCTCGCGAGCAGCGGCGCCGCCTGGGCCCGCCGCCGCCCCGCCCGCGCCGCCGCCGCCGCGGACGGCCGCCGCGGCTGTCGGCGGCCTGCGACGGCCCTCGGCGGCCCTCGGAGGCCCTCCGCGGCTCTCGGCGCCCTCGGCGGCCCTCGGCGGCCCTCGGCGGCCGTCGGCGGCCCCTGGCGGCGGCGCGGAGGGTCCGCGGAGGGCCGCCGGAGGCAGTGGCAGTGGTGGCCTTCGGGAGGGGGGCCCTCGCCACGGCTGGCGCAGCGCGGCACATTGGCGGGGTTTCCGGGGATCGATTCTGAACGCCCGGTGTCTCAAGCCGCCTTGCTCCGAGAGGGGGGGGACGGAGGAGGAGGAGGAGGAGGAGGAGGAGGAGGAGGAGGAAGAGGAGGAGGAGGAGGAGGTTTTTTCTCGACCCATCCCAGGAGAGAGAGAGAGAGAGAACGGGAGAGAGAGAGAGAGAGAAATAATGATATTATTAGTTTCCTTGAGTTCCCCCAGAAGTTCTCCTTGCTGGGGATGAGTATTTCTCTCTGCTCTCGTCTTCTCTTCTCCCAGTAAATCTAGTGCTCCCATCATCTTCTCTTCTTCTCTCCCCCATGGTGTTCATCATGCCCGTGGCAGTTCGCCCATCTGCCGGGGGTCGGGGCCGGGGGGCCCGCGGCGGCGCGCGGAGCGAGCTGTCGCCGTGAGACACGCGGTGGTTGACGTGTCAGATGTGTGCAGCCGCCGTGAGACACGCGATGTGTGTTGCTTTATCTGTGCACAGTTGCGCGAAAGCGCCGTGCAGCGTTTGAGAGGCCTTGGTGGTAGTAGTATTTCCTTTTCGTCGTCCCTGTTGCCCACGCTTGCAGTTTGGAGGACCAGGCCAACCGGTGTTGCACCATTTGTCCCCCCCCCTCCTCCGCCTCCTCCCCCTCCTCTTTTTTCAACCTTCGCTTCTCGATCCCGCTTCCAGCAGCGACTGTGTAGACACAAGAGCCTCTATCGAAGTTCATCGCCTTCTTCTTTGCAGTGCAGTCGAAGTGGGGAGGAGGGGGGTGGACGTTTCGGAGCGTGTCGGCGCCTGTGCCCCTTCCGACTTCCACGGGCGGGGGTCGTCGCGTGCAGTTATGGCATGCAAGGTGCCCCCCGCGTCTCGAACCGCCTCGGTGCCGAAGGTTTCTTTCGGGTCCGGCCAGGTGGTGTTCATGGAAACGAGGGGGCGTCTGGGCCAACCCTGAGGACATCCAGGGCCACCCCCCTGTCGACACCCGACCCGTCCGTCCGTCCTTTTTTTCAAGTCGCGCGTTGGGCAGGAGGCCGCGTGGCAGAATTGTGGGGGGGGCATCCGGCTCAGACCGTCCCCGACGGCCATGAGCCAACTAGGTCGCGTCATGCATCGGACAAAGGCGGGGAAACCACCCCGGCCCCCACACTGGGCGGTTGCTGAGCAGCCCCCGCGGTTTACGAAACAGCCCTGCCGTGCCCGATTCCCTCCTCACGCGCGCGTTCGCTAAAGCAAAAATTCGTTGATCAGGGTGTTCATCGGGCGGTGTTTGTTCCGCCGTGTTGCACACGTGCGTTGGCCCGTTGATTCGCTGGCGGGGGGGGGGGGCCATGAACTGGAGCAGGCACGGGCGTGCGCGAGGAGGCCTCGGCCGCAGGCCCGGCCCCCTGCCTAGGGGGGCGCGCCCTAACACACACCACCCCGACAGAGCACTCCTCCTCCTCCTCCTGCTCCTCCTCCTCCTCCTCCGTCTCTTCCTCCTCCTTCTTCTCCTCCTCCTCCTCCTCCTCCTCTCCTCCTCCTCCTCCTCCTCCTCCTCCTCCTCCTCCTCCTCCTCATCCTCCTCTCCTCCTCCTCCTCCTCCTCCTCCTCCTCCTCCTCCTCCTCCTCCTCCTCCTCCTCCTCCTCCTCCTCCTCCTCTTCAGTCGAGGAGCGGGAAGCTGGCCGGTGAGAGCGCGCAGCCCTGCGTAGTCGTCAGAAGGGGTTTGTTTGCGTGGCCGGGGCGGGGGCGCGACCACGTGCGCGCCACGGTGTCTTTGCAGTGGGCTGGCGGCCGTGTGGCGCGGATGGGGGCACGGCCACGTGAACGGAAATGCGTTTTTTTGTTGTCACTGGCGCCGGGGCCGTTCGACAGGGCTGAGGGCACGGTCACGTTCACCGTCGCTTTTTCTTTTGTACAATCTGTAGAACTATTGCCCCGCCGCTGTCGTTTGTCGGGGTGTTGTTGTCGATGCGGTGCGGTTGGGCGGCTGCCATCCATTTATCGGAGGAAATATTGCCTCGCCGCCGTCGCCGCTGTCGTTTGTCTGTCCATGCGGTGCGGTTGGGCGGCTGCCATTTATCGGAGGCGGTGGGTGGCGGGTCAGAGGCCTCACGGTTGTTGGTTGGGCTCTCGCGGTCGGCCTCGCAGGAGCATTTGGGAGGCAGTTTGGGGGCCTTTTGTGGGCCGTGTTGGGCCTGGCGCCTCTTGGGGGCATCTTGGGGTGCCTCTTGGGGGCCCCTGGAGGCCCTTTGGGCCTCTTGGGGCGTCCTGGGGGCTTCTTGGGCCTCTTGGGGCGTCCTGGGGGATTCTTGGGGCTGAAGGCTGGACTTTTCGGTTCCTGGTTCCCTTTTTGGGCCCCTCTTGGGGCCGTCTTGGGCGCATCTTGGGCTGCCGTGGGGCCATCAGAACGGTAATGTGCACCGTCGTGTCTTTTGTATAAAAGAAACAAAGGGTCTTTGCCGTCGGGACAAATGTAACCAGCACCTGGCATTTTCGGGTTCCCCGCCCACCAGCGGGGTTATTTGCGTTTTGCTCTCTCCAAAAAAGCGCAGAACTTTCTAGCGACACGCCACTCGGTCAAAGGAGCCACCGCCCACCGCGGGCAACATTGTTCTTCGTACCCAATGTGTCTTGGACTTGTTGTTGGAAGGGACGCGAAAATGCCGATTCGCAGCGGATATGGATAAACATCTAGCCACCGAATGCCCGATGTTTGTCCATATCCACCGCGCCTCTAGTTATTGGGGAATGGAGCCCAGATTTTTCAGACGCAGTGGATTTGGACGCACAGTTTGCCCGTGCCTTCGTGTTTGTCTCTCCTGGCCCTTCTCCGTCCTCCTGGGCATGACCGTGGCCAGCAGGGCTGCGACACCAGGCGCGACGGCCTTTCTCGTCTGCGCAGTCACTCAGCTCTGAGGTCGCCCACGCCTTCGAGTCTCAGGAGCTCTGGTCTGAGTGCCCCACTCCTACTCCTCCCCCTTCTCGCCGTGTTCCCCCCTCCTCCACCTCCGGACCGACTGCGTTCATCTTCCACCCCCATCCCCCTTGCCGTCATCCACCCTTGTCCTCCATTCCCCCATCTCTCATCCTTGCCTTTCTGCCCCCTCCTCCACCTCCTTGCCGTCCCCCGCATCATCCACCTTCCTCCTCCTCCTCCTCGTCCTTGTCCTCCTCCTCCTCCTCCTCCGTAGTGTCCTCCTCCTCCTCCTTGCTGTCCTCCACCTCCGTACCGTGCTCCTCCTCCTCCTCCTCCTCCTCCTCCTCCTCCTCGTCCACCTCACCGTCATGGTCCTCATCCTCCTCCCTTATCATCGCCCTCCCTCCTCCTCGGCCCTCCCCCTTCCTGTCCGCCTCCCCCCCTCCACCTCCTCGCCGCCCCCCCTCCCGGTCCACGCTTCGCTCTCGGGAGCAGGAGGGGAGGGCGGCGCACCTCCACGCGGGGGCCCCGCGCTGCCGCCAGGCCTACCCGGTCGCGGACGAGTCCCGTCGCTCGTTCGCGGGAGACGCCGCGCCGCCAGTTGCCGCCGCCGCCGTCGTCGTCGTCGCCGGCGTTGTCGTCGCCGTCGGCGTGGTCGTCCTCCGCCCTCGTCCTCGTCATCGTGTGTCCTCGTCTCTCCTTCCACGTCCGGCCAAAAGGCATCCTCCATGTTCCTCCTCCTCCTCCTCCTCCTCTTCCTCCTCCTCCATGCTCCTTCCCCTTCCCCTCAGTCCGCCAAGGTGGGGGGCAGGAGCCGGAAAGGAGAGGCGGAGGAGAGGCAGGAGAAGGGGGGGAGCATTGTGGAAGGAGGAGGAGGGATCGGGAGGAAAGAGGCGGGAGGTAAGACGATACGTTGGGAGGCAGAGCACTGAATAAGAGGAGGAGGAGGAGGAGGAGGAGGAGGAGGAGGGTGAGGAAGAGGAGAATGGAGGGAGGGGTAGAGTGATGGATGCAACGAGGAAGGAGGAGGGGGGGTGGAGAAGGGGGGAGGAGGACTGGTCGGCGAGGATGACGGTAGGACAAAGGAGGGGGAAGGAGGAAGATGAGGAGGGGCGGGACGGAGGAGGAGGAGGAGGAGGTGGCGGGTTGGACTGATCACGATGAGCTGGCTGATCGAGGACCTCGAGGGCAGGGGGATAACAAGCAGGACGAGCAGTAGGATGAGCATGGGCAGCAGGTGGAGGGGGACGAGGACGGGAAGGAGGAAGACGCAGAGGAAGAGGCGGGGGTGGTAAGTTCTGCTCCCGCCCCGGATCCTGACCCCTAGAGGTGCCCCGAGGTACCCCACGTCCCCCGAGGTCCCCGAAGGCCCCCAGAGGGCCGAAGAGGACCGAAAAAACGTCCGTCCGAAGACCCCTCCTCGATCTTCGAGGTGGGCCGAGGGCCCAACGTAATTTTGGAGGGCAGAGGAGCGGTGTCACAGGGCGGCGCGGGGACGAGGACGAGGGCGGGCAGTCGGGGCAGGATGGTAAAAGGCGTCCCCTCCTCGACCGTCGAGCCTCGAGTCTCGAGGGGGGTTATGATGTTCCAACCTACTTTAGCCTTGATCACCAGAAAGAATGTCGAGCGCACCCCAAAACTCGAGGGTTTTCACGTGTCGGGCCCTGGGAGACACTCGTCCGACACTGTTTCGACACTCTTTCGACACTTTTCCGGGTGCTCGAAATTATTTCTGGGCTGCGGTCCTTCAGTAGGATGGGAACACCATAAGAGGAGGGCCGAGGGCGGTGTCGCAGGGAGGCGCACCGACGGGGAGGAGGGCGGGCAGTCGGAGCAGGAGGGCAGACAAGCGTCATCGCTGTGATCGCTGCCATCGTGTTCATCGCTGTCGGCGCTGTCCTCGCTGTCGTCGCCATCGTCGTGATCGCCGTTGTCGCTGTCATCATCGTGAGGGCCGTCGAGGGCAACAGACGCCCCCCCGGGGGTCTGCCCTTATGTCGGGCGTGTCCCCCTACAGGGGGATCTTCGACGAAAAATAAAACATACCCCAAACATGGTCAAAAAATAGTCCCCAGACTATGTTTGAATGAATTTTTGATTATTTTTTGGGTAGTTCTTATTTTTCGTCGAAAGGGACAGGCCCGACGTAAGCCCGCCCCGTCGGGCGCCACCCGGCCCAGACTGCGGCGAGGGGCGCTCGGTCGCACCGCGGCGACGGCGAGGTCGCCTCTCGGGGGGCGCCCCCCGGGAGGGCCCGAGGGCACCGGAGGGGCCCCCCGGCCGTCGAGCGGTAGGGCGACGACAGAGCAGCGATGTGCCCCCATCGCGTGGTGGAATCCTCCTCCTCCTTTTCCTCCTCCTCCTCCTCCTCCTCCTCCTCCTCCCTCCTCCTCCTCCTCCTCCTCCTCCTCCATACTCCTCCTCCTCCTCCTCCTCCTCGATCCTCCTCCTCCTCCTCACTCCTCCTCCTCCTCTCCTCCTCCTCCTCCTCCTCCTCCCCCTCCTCCTCCTCCTCCTCCTCCTCCTCCTCCTCCATACTCCTCCTCCTCCTCCTCGATCCTCCTCGATCCTCCTCCTTCTCTTCCTTCTCCTCATGTTCGGGAAGTTCTCTGGGAGGGTTTCCTGCCCCTCTGCAGGAGGAATGCTCAAGAAGTCGCCGAAACAACATGCAGGAGGAACATACTCCTCCTCCTCCTCCTCGATCCTCCTCGATCCTCCTCCTTCTCTTCCTTCTCCTCATGTTCGGGAAGTTCTCTGGGAGGGTTTCCTGCCCCTCTGCAGGAGGAATGCTCAAGAAGTCGCCGAAACAACATGCAGGAGGAACATTTCAAGCATATGTTTGTTATTGTTGTTGTCGTCGGGACATGTTCGGGAAGTGCTCGAAATCGCGACGGGAGGTCTTCTGCAACTTCCGGCCTGCGGGGTCCCTCGCCGGGCCCCGGGCACCGATTCTGGACGAAGAGTCGGGCTTGGGGGCAGGAGGGCTACGACAGCAAGCGATGTACCCCCTCGACGTCTCCGATGCATCGCCGACGTCGACGATGCAACGCAGGCGCATCGCCGATGTATCGGCGATGCAACGCCGATGTATCGCCGATGTATCGGCGATGCGGCGCGATCCTCCGACACCATCTCTGGATGGCCTCTGAAAATCGCGACGGGAGGTTTTCTGCAGTCTTCAGCCTGCGGGGGCCCTCGCCAGACCCCGGGAACCTCGAACATTCGACCCGGGATGGAAAGTCGGTCTTGGGAAATTGGGTCGAGATCTCTTGGGGTTGGGCAGGAGAGAGACTACAGAATTGACTGAACCGTAAGTCGTGCCTGTTCCTCTACAGGAGGAATATCCAAATATTGTCCAAAAATAGTCTGTGGGGATTTTGTTGTGAATCTGTTCGAATACGTTTGAATGTGTGTTTGAATTTGTTTTATGCTTTCGCTCAAAATCCACCTGTAGGAGGACATGCCCGACCTAAACTTAACCCTAAACTTGGTTTTCCCGCCGAATCCTACGAAAATATCTATGGAATGTTCCGTACATCTACGGGCAATGTCCGCATTGGATTGTCAACCCGATGATTCATTTTTGGGGGTAAATCAGTTCTGTAGTCGATCTCCCATTCGGCTCCTCGATCTTTGTTCCTCGGGCAGGGCGGACACTCAAAACTGGCCCCAGGGATCCCGACGGGGTTGATCCATGGTCCATGCCAGTCTTCGACCTCGGATCCAGGATCTTCGAGTCGTCGAAGGGCCTCGATCGATCAATCCTTGATTCCTCTCGCTTCGCGGGGTGCATGTCCGGAGCACGTACAGTCACGTCGTTGCGGGGCCTCTTGGGAGCTTCTTTGGGCCTCTTGGGGGCTTCTTTGGGGCCTCTCCCCCCCCTCCTTTTCATACCCCCTCACCATCTTCCCTTTCAGCGCCGGCTCTAATCATGCGCGCCGCCGTGACCAATTTTCACCTGGCTGGCGCTGCGTCGTCGTTCGCCCAGGGGGGGGAATAACATTACGCTCCAGTCGTTGTGTGTCCTTATGGGGGCTTCTTTGAGGCCTCTTGGAGGCTTCTTGGGGATTTCTTGGAGGCCTCTTGGGGTTCTCTTGGGGTTCTCTTGGGGTCCTCTTGGGCCGTTTCAGGGTTTTTTTGGACCGCCTTGGGGGCCTCTTTGAGCCGTCTTGGGGCCCTCCTGGGCCGTTTGGGATCCCCTCTTTGGAGCCTCTGGGGGCCTCTTGGGGACGTCTGGGAGCCGTCTTTGGGCGCTCTTACGCCGTCTGGCCACTTCGGAGGCCACTCTGGAAGCCTCTCGCGGCCGCCTTGGGGCTCTCTTGGGGTCCTCTGGGGCCGTTTTGGGGTCTTCTTGGGCCGTCTTGGAGGCTCGTTTGGCCGTCTCGGGGCCCTCTTGGGCCGTTTTGGGCTCCCCTTGGAGGCTGCTTGGGCCGTTTGGGGGCCTTTTTGGAGGCTGCTTGGGCTGTCATGGCCTTCTGAAAGCCGAAAAAGGGGGAAATCCAAGATTTTGGCCTCCGGGGGCGCTCTCGGGAGTCTTCTTCGGGGCCTCTTGGACTTTTTGGGGGGCCTCATTGGCCCTCTTGGGGCCATCTTGGGCCGTCTTGAGGCCGGCTTGAAACCTTCTTGGGGCCCCAAGAGGCCCAAGGGGCCTCGATCGATCAATCCTTGATTATATAGGCTTACGCCACATCCGCCGACCCCTCTATAAACTACTGCGCCTCCAGGACTGCATTCCACGAGGCTTGTCCGAATCATGACACGGCGCTCGACATCGTTCCTGGTGCCCCGTTGTTATCGTATTTTCCGGGACACACGTTTCGTCCCGATCCGTTCCTTGGCGGCCCCCGGTGGGCTCCGAGACGGCCTCCCGCTGCACGCCGAGGGTGTCAAAAAAACATTCTCGTGGGCGACAAACATATTCGTGCCCGCGGCATTTCCGGGGATGCCCCGCGGGCAACCAATCCGCGAGGGCGCGGATACGGATATGTTGCCGCTCTGGGATGTCCGTTGGGATCTCGTGGCGAGGATTCCCGCGGGCCTCATCGAGGCAGTTTCGAAGGGTCTTGGTGACTGTTTTGGGGGTTTCTTTCGGGACTCGTGGGGGCTCCTTGGTGCCTCTTGGGTGCCTCATGGCCTCTTGGGGCCGAATGGGGGCTTCTTAAATCCTCCGGAGAGCTTCGTTGGGCGGAGCGCTGGAATTCGCGGTTCGTGGTCCCTCTCTTGGGCCCTTTTTGGGGTCGTCTTGGAGCTCTCTTGGGCCGTCTAGTTAGGTTGCAAACGTTGGAAGCCTTAATTTAGTCATCGAATTGTTCCTGGGGCGCTTGCGCTTCTGCAGTAGTGGTAAATCGTGGCGAATAGCGTGAAAACTTGATAGGGGCGCCTCCTGCATGAGGAGGGGGAGGGCGGGGGGAGAAGGAGGGGGGGGGGGTGGGAGCAGGCGGGGGGGGGGGGGGGGCAGGGGGAGGAAGAGGAGCATGCGGAGGAGGAGGAGGAGGGGGGATGATGAGGAGGAGGAGGAGGGACAGCGAGAAATAATCTCGGGGGTGGCGGAGGAGGAGGGGGCGGGAAAAGCGAAGGAGGAGG